CGGTGCAATTTGTTCGAAATGAAAAAAATATTTCAATGGCGGCACATTTGAACGAAAGTGTAAACAAGGGGAATTTGACTAACTCCATATGCGTTATTTATTGACAGTAGAGTTGTGAAAATGAAACAGATGTGTTGGAAATTTACTGCTTTTTGCGATGTTGCAATTGCTATGGGCTTGGGGTAATCCAAAAATATTTTATTTCAATTCTTTTAACATGATGTTTCAGAAGGACATATATGTCCCTCTGGCACAGCAACTGCGTTTTGTGTAGAGACAAAAATGTCCAAATGGCATCCAGGGGGTTAAGTATAGTTTTGTCAAAATTATGTATGTATGTGTGTGTGTTTGTGTGTGTGTCCGACTCATTGTCTGTGTAAAAATGTAGTAGATAACTATAGAACTACGGGAATTACAGGAATGGATCACTAAATATCAGCAAAAACCGTTTTAATGTACGGCATTATGGGAAATATCGCTTTCTCGCTCTATCGCTTTCTCGCTCTATCGCTTTCTCGCTCTATAACTTTCTCCCTCTATCGCTTTCTCGCTCTATCGCTTTCTCTAATGACTAACAATAGTCATATGAAAGGATCGGGTGTTCTTTAATTTCTTTTGAATAGTATGTACTGTAAATCTGCCCATATAGTGGCCAAGAGGGAATATTTCTATACCCCGAGAAAGCGAGAAAGCGAGAAAGCGATAGAGCGAGAAAGCGAGAAAGCGATGTCCCCTCTCGGCCACCATAGAAAAGCGTATTGATGGTTCGTCAAGACGAAGGCCCTGGTTTGACCTCCTCTTCATTTTATGACTAGAGTATTGCTAAAAGAATCATACACACAAACTCACTCACTCATGTTGTAAAGTATATATTTATCAAATAAATTTGTATTACATTGTCATATTAATGTGTGCATTTGCGTCTGAACCTGTGCTTATGCAGCTTCAGTGATACTCATCATCAATAACGATGTCAACGCGCGTCATCGTGCTGGTTCGGCAATCGAGACAGAAAATGAGAGTTCATCACAATCTTGCAATGTATGCTTCCTGACTATCTGAATCATTTTAATCTTATTAAAATCGGAACAGCTTTGAGTAACGTATCGGAGTGAAAGGTCTAATTTTAATGCAAGGGGTATCGTGTCGGAGTAACAGAGAACCTATTCTTGTCGAAAGAGGCGACTACCGGGATCGGGTGGTCAGGCTTATTGACTTGGATGATGCATGTCATCGTATCCCAATTGGCGTAGATCGATCTTCATGATGTCAATCACTGGATTTTCTGATCCAGACTCGATTATTTACAGACCGCCGTCATGTAGGTATACAATTGCTGAGTGAGGCGTTAAACAACAAACAATTAAATTTCAATGAGATTGGTAATCTTCATTAAATGTTTATGCCGCTTTATAAATTAGTTCAGTCTTATCACATCGGGGGAAACCCAGAGTATTTAATTTAATATTCTCGTATGCGAAATCGAACATGGCGTGGTGTGTTCGTGGGGAAGACAAAAATACGTTGATGTTCACATTCTGAATAGAGAATTGGTGAATTTATGTAAAGATCCCATGGGATTCGTAAACTGTTTATGTGTATGATGTTAAACTCTATGAGTTAAAGGGGGCACGGGGGGCCCAGTCGTCTAAGGCGCCACGATTCGCTGTGCAGAGTTGCGTCCCTTGGGTACGCCAGAAACCTATGATTGTGGGTTCGAATCCCGGTTCGCCCCGATTATGTTTCTAGGTTTGTCAGCACCATACCCATGCTCGTTTGTTTCACCGAAGTGGTAAACGTCTGAGACCTGCATCACTTCGGTCTTTCCTTCCACATTAAGTTGACACGCCGTGGTATAGCTGGAATAATGTTAAAAGCGGCGTTAAACCCAACTCACTCTATGAGTTAAAACGTCTTCATACTTGTATATTGCTCCATTATCATATACGTTCTAATATACACGTATATGTATGTAAATATGTTCCCCCGGAAGAGCGTCCGCCCGGAGAGCGGAAGGTTCGGGGTTCGATCCCCGGTCGTGTCATACCAAAAGACGTTAAAAGATGGTACTAGTTGTTACCCTGTCTGGCGCTCGGCATTAAGAAGCTAAAACAAGGACTGGTCAGCTCCAAGTCAGTATGCACGTCGCTATGTAAGTGCATTAATCTTGAACGTCTTGATGTACTTTGCGTTTGCATTGTAGTAGAATCAGTGAGTGAGTGAGCGAGTTTGGTTTTACGCCGCTTGTAGCAATATTCCAGCAATATCACGGCGGGGGACACCAGAAATGGGCATCACACATTGTACCCATGTCGGGATTCGAACCCGGGTCTTCGGCGTGACGAGCGAACGCTTTAACCACTAGGCTACCCGACCGCATGTGTAGTAGAATCATGAGTGAGTCAACCAACATTCAATAATGTTACTGTATCTATATAAACTGGCCGGCAAAAGAAAATTTACAATTGAAAAATGGATTTGATAATTATTTTTACAAACGTTACTAAACTGAAAACAGTCTCCGAACACTGCAAACTTAAGGTCCAGAGCAACACACCAATGATTATTAAATACATCACCACCGAATAACCTTTTCTTCTTTGTTTCATTTTTAGCGCGCGTGCGTGCGTGCGTGTGTGTGTGTGTGTTTGTGTGTGTCTGTTATAGCTGGCCCACTTAGATACCATACCGCCCTGTACCAGACGCCCAATCCACTAGACCACGGAGGCTGTTCTCCAGTGATGAAGACCATTAGACCTATTGTACAGCCATCTTGATGTTACACTATTTGCAACGATAAAATTTCCCCTTCTACCACATAAAGACAAACAAACCCGTAACTATGGGAGAACGGAGTAAGACTTTGGGGCTTTGGATACACGATAGGAAAATGATCGATGAGGTTTGATTGAAATCGACTTCAAATAATGTTTTATCATAAAAGATTCAAGGGATGATAAAACCACGGAAGCCACAAATACATTGCTTAGATCCTATGAATATTCAACGGAATGTCCCTGTTTTATTTCAGTTCATTTTACCATACATTGTCTTGGTGCAGTGGAGTTATTGATTTAAAACATCAATGCATTTTTTTAAGCGAGGGTAAATATAGATCAAAATGAGATACATGTTTGTTTTTTAGTAATGCTTTGGTACATGGAAACCTGTTAATCAGTCAAATAAAAGTCATATTGTTATAATTGTTAGAGACACAATATTAGAGACTGATAAGTGATGATGTGTTAACGATAGTCCGTCAGTTTTGTAATATACTAATGTGTTCTCTGTTTGAAGTGTGTTCTATGTGCTCTGGGTGTGAAGTTTGTACTTGATGTCGGCCCCAAGTGACATGGTAACATTGATTCTAAATCCCCCCCCTCCCTAAACTCACACTTTCTCTCACTTTCATACTCCACAACAATCCCCTACACCTCACAATCTCCCTCCCTACCTCACTCTGACTAAGGCTCTCACTCACTCTCACGAAGACTCTCTCTCATTCACAATCTCACTCACTCACTCTCACGAAGACTCTCTCTCACTCACAATCTCACTTACTCACTCTCACGAAGACTCTCTCTCACTCATAATCTCACTCACTCACTCTCACGAAGACTCTCTCTCACTCACAATCTCACTCACTCACTCTCACGAAGACTCACTCTCATTCACAATCTCACTCACTCACTCTCACGAAGACTCTCTCTAACTCACAATCTCACTCACTCACTCTCACGAAGACTCTCTCACTCACAATCTCACTTACTCACTCTCACGAAGACTCTCTCTCACTCATAATCTCACTCACTCACTCTCACGAAGACTCTCTCACTCACAATCTCACTCACTCACTCTCACGAAGACTCTCTCTCACTCATAATCTCACTCACTCACTCTCACGAAGACTCTCTCTCACTCACAATCTCACTCACTCACTCTCATGAAGACTCTCTCTCACTCACAATCTCACTCACTCACTCTCACGAAGACTCTCTCTCACTCACAATCTCACTCACTCACTCTCACGAAGACTCTCTCTCACTCATAATCTCACTCACTCACTCTCACGAAGACTCTCTCTCACTCACAATCTCACTCACTCACTCTCACGAAGACTCTCTCTCACTCACAATCTCACTCACTCACTCTCACGAAGACTCACTCTCATTCACAATCTCACTCACTCACTCTCACGAAGACTCTCTCTAACTCACAATCTCACTCACTCACTCTCACGAAGACTCTCTCACTCACAATCTCACTCACTCACTCTCACGAAGACTCTCTCTCACTCACTCACTCTCACGAAGACTCTCTCTCACTCACTCACAATCTCACTCACTCACTCTCACGAAGACACTACCTCACTCACTCACAATCTCACTCTCACGAAGACACTCCCTCACTCACTCCCTCACTCACTCACTCTCACGAAGACTCTCTCACTCACTCACAATCTCACTCACTCACTCTCACGAAGACACTCCCTCACTCACTCACAATCTCACTCACTCACTCTCACGAAGACACTCCCTCACTCACTCACAATCCCACTCACTCTCACGAAGACTCTATCTCACTCACTCACAATCTCACTCGCTCACTCTGACTAAGACTCTATCTCACTCACTCACAATCTCACTCACTCACTCTGACTAAGACTCTCTCTCACTCATTCACAATCTCACTCACTCACTCTGACTAAGACTCATTCTCTGTCACTCTCTCGATAACTCTCCCCATCCCTCATTAGCTAACGCTCACCCTCAATCGCACTCACTCTGTCACTAACGCTCTCACTCACTCACATTCTCCCTCCCTCACTCACTCAAGGTGTCACCAACACCTCCCTCACTCTCTCACTCACTAACACACTCTCTACCTACCCTTTCACTTTCTTCCCCGTGCATACTTCCCCACTCCTTCACTCCCCCTCCCTACCCTGACAAACGCTCATGAACCCTCATTCTGCAATGTAATGTGTGATGAACACTCACCGTCTCCGTCAGTAGCGCTGACCTCCTCGTGTCCACCACATCTGCGTGATCTGGCCACCAGCATCTCATTGGTCCAGTATGAATCGCAGACTAAGTTCATGGCCTCATCACCTCAACAGCACCAGGCAACGGAATCCTCCAAGTCTTCATATATGACATTTGGTAGAAATATGTCACACTAGCTTCGCCTGATTTAATGGCAATAGATGGCAATAGTTAATCCCATCCCGGGGCATCACTGTTGATTTTCTCGTGTAAATTTAAAAATAAAAAGTCTCATTATCACATATAATCCTGAATTTCAGCCGTGTATCTGGCGTCACACACACACTACACCTTCATGCAGATAATAATGCTGCCGCGATCACATTCTGCCCATTGCGGCCAGGTGGAAGCGGTTATAATCAGTCGATATGTCGGAGGTAGACAGCTGACCTTATCTTCTCCGATAAATCCATTCATGTTCCATCACATGCGAGCAAAGGTCATTCCTGTTCCCTAATGACATTTTATTTGCATGCGAAGTATGACCACGTGGACTCCTGTCCGTTCCCTGTGCACCTCATTAAGAAGGTTCATGTCCAGTCAGTATGAGCAGACGACTGCTTTCGACTGAGCAGATGGCGCTCTATAATTCTGCTGGTACTGTAATCGTACGGACAAATAACCTGCGTGACGTCACTTCGCGGGATTCTGCAACAGGCGACACTGTTGTTTAATCTATATTGGGGCGTGTTCTGCTGCTCGCGTACGGGCATCAGTTGTTGCCGACTAGGGATGGTCGCGGTCAAACTCATCAAAGGATGAATTGAGACAGCAGACGATAAATATCACGGATGAACAAGTGAGGGGAGATCACAGACGAACATACGACAATGATCACCACAGGGTATGCGACAAATATAGCAGACGACAAAGATCACATGTGATCAGACAACAAAGATCACATGTGATCAGACAACAAAGATCACATGTGATCAAACAACAATGATTAAATCAGAGTAGACGACAAGCAACGTATATGATCAGACGATGACAGAACAGAACAGAACAGAACTTTATTACGCCCAAGGCTACAAAAAGTAGCATGTTGAGATTTAACAGGAGATGTGACCTATGATAGTGATGGAAGCTATAATAATTATTTAAATGTAGCCATTACTATTTTACAATATTTTGATATTTCTTTCAAGAAGATGTTATTTTTACAATGAAACATCTGTTGAAGTTTAAACATAGATGGATGTACAATAAGAGTCTTTGGTATGTATAATTGTCTTACTTCTTTAAAATATTCACATTAAAAAATATAATGATATTCATCCGCAATGTCTTGGCTTTTACAAACAGTACACTTTCTATCTAATAAAGGGGTGTGATTCCATCTTCCACATTCAATCGGTAAATAATGGCAATAAGTTCTGAAAAGTAGTAGTGGTATGTACACACCTTTTGGTAAATTACACAGATATGTTTCCAGTGAGATATTATCTTTAATGACTTTATAAAATTTTCCTTTACTTGAATTTGTGACATCAGAATTCCACCGTTGTAGAAACTGATCTTCCAGACAAGTGGCGATGGTCAAGTAGACGATTAAGATAACGGGGAAACTGACGATAAAGATCGCGAGCAAGCAGACGGCAAAAATATCATGGACGAACAGACAACTATATACGTTTTTTTGTTTGTTGTTTAACGCCACACAATATTCCAGCTATATGAGGGCTGTCTTTAAATAATGGAGTCTGGACCAAGCAATTCAGTGATTGATATCATGAGTATCGATTGGGATACGATGATATGCCATCAGTTGCATCCAAGTCACCGAGCCTGACCACCCGATCAATTTAGTGGCCTCTTACGACAAGCTTGGGTTTCAGGGGGACCTATATGGTTACCCGAAACCCCCACTGGTAAGTTAATGTTAAAGTATGGGAGTAACGATCACCTTAGTGCTACGATCACCCTGTCGAACGTGACCGAATATGAACGCGAACAATCCCACAATATTAATCGTCCCAGAAAATACTTGAAAAACATAATAATGCCTCAGACTGTAGAAAAAGAAGAAGACATTGTCTGCCACAAAAATACATTGTTGCAGAATGTTTCTTTTTTCAACATTAGTAAAAGAAGCTCATAGGTTTAATTGCAAATTTTCAGAAAGATGCTTCTTAATCAACTCTTGGAATATGTGATTTTAAGTGATAATGTGGTCACTGGAGACTGGGGGTATTTGACCAAAGCTGCCAAAATACGAGGCATCACATTCTTTTTAACCCTTTCAACCTCATATATTTCCTTACACTTTTCATATTTTCCACACATTAACGGTAATTCGCGAGTTGCTAGGCACCACACACCTCGTACCTATCGCCGCTAATGACTCGGAGCTGCATTCACTGAACAAACACCTGGCACGCGAGCGTTAACTTGCGTCATCACATATAAGGGTCAGCGCGCACCGGGCGCAGCTGACAAGACCACAGACATCAATTTCGGCACTGGTCAATCGCTGATAAGTATTTTTTAACCAGCTGGCACTTGTTTGACAGATAACGTCAGCGCGCACGCCCATTGTGACTACGAAAAAACGGGGCTAAAATGAACCTACCTATAGAATAATGGACTACTCCACCCTGCTTATATATACACTGACGGACAAAAGAAACTTTACGGATTCGGTTTCGGAGTCCATACCACACAACCAACTTAAACCACACAATCCTTCCGACTCCCAAACAACCAATCAATATACACGGCAGAACTAATGGGCATGGCCTCAGCCCTCCATAATCAAGAATCCAAAAACCACAAAAAAATCCTAATACTTACCGACTCCCTAAGTGGACTGCAAGCCCTCCAAAACAAAAATACCGAAAACCGACCTAAATTAATAAATCAAATACTTAAAAGCTCCAAAGACCTAACTAAGGCAGGCAAACAATTAACAATCTTATGGATCCCCGCCCACGTAGGAACATACGATAATGAAAACGCCGATAAAGCAGCTTAAACTTACCCATCTCAAAATCAGAAATTAAAAGTGTAAACAAGCAGAAAATCACCAAAAATGGCATAAGAGTGTCTAGACATGAGTGTCCCTTCCTAGTCTTAGTGTATGATCTAGGCATGAGTGTCCCTTCCTAGTCTTAGTGTATGATCTAGACATGAGTGTCCCTTCCTAGTCTTAGTGTATGATCTAGACATGATAATACCTAGCCGCAGTATTTCCGGACTTCGGCAAAGGCCTCGACATGGTATGGCATGAGGACTCCTCACAAAACTTGCACAAAAAGGAGAAGAAGGGAACACTGCAAACTTCATAGACAGCTTCCTGGAAGACATGTCGCTATCAGTAAAACTAGGGAACAATAATTCTGATCCTATGTCACTGGACAATGGCACGCCACAAGGCAGCATTATAAGACCAACCCTGTTTAACATCAAGATGAATGATCTATTTGATCATGTCAACTCTCCAACCCAAACTTCTAAATTCGCTGATGACGGAGCAATATAAGATATTTAAAAAATCAGAGAAATATTCCAGTCAACCCTGGACGGAGTAGATCAATGGTGCAATAAATGGGGGTTCACCCTTTAAAGTGAAAAGACCTGTGGGAGTTCTATTCAAACGCAGAGGGAAAGATGCCATGATACCCCGTCTCTCCATTACGAGCGTAAAATTCAAATTTGAAACATCCGCCAAATTTCTAGGGGCGATCCTTGATCACCACTTCACTTGGCGCAAACATATGGGATATGTGGAAAACAGATGTCATAAAGACATGAACGTATTGCAGGCAATTTCAGGCACATCTTGGTGTACCTCTAGGGACGCTCAGCTGGACCTCTACAAATCACTGATCAGATCAAAAATAGACTATGATTGTGAGGCCTTTCACTCAGCATCAAATACTGTCTTGAGCCGCCTCGACAGAATACAATACAAAGCCCTTATACTAGCCACAGGTGCAGCAACAGGTACTAAACTAGAAGCACTACAAGTAGAGACGGGAGAACTCCCATTGAAACTAAGAAGAGAGCAGGCAATATTATCGTTCTGGGGACATCAAACCCCTTGATACAAAATCACCTGAGATGAAGCCCTAACTCGGACAAATCCCTTACCAAAGCCATCTGGGATATTGGTACATGAACTCATCCGAAGTCACAATTGTGATGACATTCAGCCACCAGCAAGTCACTTCAATGGGTTACACCTCCCTGGAATTTAAAAACTCCAAAAGTTGACACTGTTTTAACACCAGAAGCCACGAAAGAAATACTACCCTACTACGAGATTGTTATCACCTGTGGTGTACACAGATGATATTGTTAGCTCCTGTGGTGTACACAAATGATATTGTTAGCTCCTGTGGTGTACACAAAGGACATTGTTAGCTCCTGTGGTGTACACAGATGATATTGTTAGCTCCTGTGGTGTACACAAATGACATTGTTAGCTCATGTGGTGTACACAAATGACATTGTTAGCTCATGTGGTGTACACAAATGACATTGTTAGCTCCTGTGGTGTACACAAATGACATTGTTAGCTCCTGTGGTGTACACAAATGATATATTTAGCTCATGTGGTGTACACAAATGACATTGTTAGCTCATGTGGTGTACACAAATGACATTGTTAGCTCCTGTGGTGTACACAGATGATATTGTTAGCTCCTGTGGTGTACACAAATGACATTGTTAGCTCCTGTGGTGTACACAAATGATATTGTTAGCTCCTGTGGTGTACACAAATGATATTGTTAGCTCCTGTGGTGTACACAAATGGCATTGTTAGCTCCTGTGGTGTACACAAATGATATTGTTAGCTCCTGTGGTGTACACAAATGACATTGCTAGCTCATGTGGTGTACACAGATGATATTGTTAGCTCATGTGGTGTACACAGATGACATGGTTAGCTCCTGTGGTGTACACAGATGACATGGTTAGCTCCTGTGGTGTACACAGATGACATTGTTAGCTCATGTGGTGTACACAAATGACATTGCTAGCTCATGTGGTGTACACAGATGACATTGTTAGCTCATGTGGTGTACACAAATGACATTGTTAGCTCATGTGGTGTACACAGATGATATTGTTAGCTCCTGTGGTGTACACAGATGACATTGTTAGCTCCTGTGGTGTACACAAATGACATTGTTAGCTGATGTGGTGTACACAGATGACATTGTTAGCTCATGTGGTGTACACAGCATTTAGAGTACATTCAACAGACGACGGTAGCATTTAAATCAGATTCAAGAAACGACACTAGCATTTAGATCACATTCATCAGACGATAGTATCATTTAGATCACATTCAACAGACGACGGTAGCATTTAGATCACATTCAACAGACGACAGTAGCATTTAGATTAAATTCATCAGACGACAGTAGCATTTAGATCAAATTCAACAGACGACAGAAGCATTTAGATCAAATTCAACAGACGACAGACGACACAATCAGGCAAATTAAATGTTGGGCATCACGCCATTATGAGTGAAGCCTGCTGCAGCTCTGGGTGGTGTTAGGTTCGTAATGGAGCCCGTTAGGAAGCTGCACAAATGCTGCTCCAGGACCCGCCT